TATATATAAATTCTAATAAATAAAATAAATAATAGAATATCGTGAGATATTTGTAGAATAAGAGTACATTTACACATCATCTTTAATAACAGAAATAAACAAATTTTAGTATGTTTTCTGCATAGTAATGAAATTTGAACATTGAAAATAATTATATAATTACTCAAAGATGCGTTCTCATAACATGAATGAATTTCTAGTATACTCGATGCTGTAAGAATTGCGACAATATGCTACTGATTTTATCAATAATAGAGCGCAATTGATGCAACATGCTATGTTTAGTCTATCTGTCTATTCGGAAACATTGGTTGTTACTAATTATTGGTTGTTACGCGACATAACATATAGGCTGATATTCATAATCGGTTCTTATTTTGAAATTGTCTTAATAAGTAATATCTTATAAAATGCTAATATATAGATTGTCTCAAATTTCGCAAAATAGTGTTGAGAAAGTTCTAAAAAAATTAAGTAAAAAATTATTTGTAAATTTTTATTTTAAGTAGTAATTTTTAAATAATAAGAATTTAAATATAGCCATATTGCAATTATAGACGTTTAGATGGCTATCTGTTCATGAGTCGCGCGTAATAGTATTAATTAAAAAAGAGTTATTTCAGCGCGCTCACTAATGCGAGATCTATGTAGACAGAATATCAACTGATGCTTTTGATTGGCTATTACTCTTGCGACCTAAAAACGATTTCGCAAAAACATTGTAATCCAGCATAATCATTCATAAGTGATTATTTAATCGTAGTTAAGTGTCGCATTTAAACTCTTGCATCTCTAAAACTAATGCTTGAAACAAAAATATACAAATAACTTTTTTTTGGAAACTTAATTTTTCTAAAAATTTCTTTAGTAGTATTATATATATCTCTAATATAGTATTTTAAGTTACGAACTTTGGAACATCCCGTGCACCGCTTCACGATGATATTTATAGTCCGTTGTCTGTTTTGCACTAAAAATTGACTTTTATGTAAAATAAAAAAAAAATAAGAGAAATGATTTTGACAAATATTAATCCGAATCATGATTCTGAACAATATTCAAAAGTTTTTAACTGTCGGTCAAACTTGAATAATGCTAACGCCAGTGGTAGCGTAACTTTAAAGCGTAACTTCACTCTCGACTCGAAAAATACTTAATGAAAAATATGTTGATTTAGTGTTTTGAAGAGCTCTCAAAATAAGCTATAAGAATATGGAGATTTTCATTAAAAAAAAAAAATAAATGTAACTCGATCTTGAAGACGCTATCCAAGATTAAACTAATAAGACCGCGGTAGACAGATCATTTTAAATCCTACAACTTTTATTTGAAACATTTTTTGTATAAAACTTATATTTTTTATATAAAACTCATATTTTTCGAGATATGTTGGGATCCTGCTATTTTTTCCTCACCTCATATGTATAGATATATATGACATACTTTACATATGTATATACATAAAAAAATATGTACCACGTATTGATTAGAAATTTAAATAAGTGATATAAAAAGATTTTTAGAAGACATGAGAAGCTTCACATTATCTTAGACGCCCTACATTGGAATTTGCTTTCACGCCTCAGTTAGAAAATTACGAAGTTTCTGAAACACAAATCCGCTAATTTTTCACACTTGACGAACCAATCGCAACAAATGAATAAAAAGAAAATAAAAAGAAAAATTACTAATTTTAATAATTTTTTATTTTATTTTTGTATTCATCTTTAATTTATACCATGTAAATTAATGAAACATATTTCATTTTTTGTTGTGTAGTGATATATTTTGTAATTATTACAATTTAAATTACATTTTCTCTCATCTCAGTTATTGACAATATTTCGAGAAAACGTATGTTTAGTATGTATGGACGCTCTAAAAATTATTGGTGTCTATTTAAATTTTGCGATTTTCCAAATATTGCGCATTATGTTATAGCGTATCATTTTAATGCGTCGCAACATTCTCGGGAGGCATAATATGCAAACCTCCATCTACAAGCAATGTCACCCCTGTCATAAAACTAGCATCGTCACTTGCTAAAAATGCAATGGTTTTTGCGATTTCCAAAGAATCGCCGTTTCTCCCTAAAGCATGCATCCCTTTGATCTGCTCATAACGGATTTTAATTTGTTCTTGGCTCAGTCCACTGTTGCGAAGGATATTTGTTTGTACAGCGCCAGGATTTACGGAATTCACACGCACCTATATCGTATTTTAAAAATAATATGATGTTCAAAATAATATTTATTGTTGAAAAAAGAAAATAGTCATTATTCTTACACGCACCTGTCGTGATGCCAATTCTAAAGCAACGCAACGCGTAAATTGATCCAGAGCCGCCTTACTCATGGAATATGGCAGACTATTCTTCAGTACTCGTAATCCAGCCACGCTTGAAACATTTACAATGTTACCTTTCGTTTTGATTAAATGTGGCACTGCTAGTGTAGTCAATTGAAATACTGATCGAACATTTACATTGAAAATACTGTAAACACATTTACATAAAAAACATGTTTTTGTTATCAGTACGTTTTCAAATAAAACAGAATTTATCAATATTCATACATGTTTATACATACTATCAACTTATCATTACATACTTGTCGTATTGTTTTAAACTTGTAGTTTCTATATCGCCGAATTCTGCAATCGCAGCATTATTAACTAAAATATCTATTTTGCCATAATGTTTGATCGTCGAGTCGATAATATTTTTCACATCATTCTCATTGGCTAGATCTCCCGTTATAATAAACGGTTTAGGTTGTCCACATTGTTCGGCTACTTTGTCTAAATTGTGCTTATTACGCCCTGTTATCGATAGCAATGCACCAAGCTGAGCAAAGTGAATAGCTGTTTCAGCTCCAATTCCTGAACTGGCTCCTGTTATCAGAACAACTTTTCCCGCAAAAGACATCTAAAATAGATAAGATTTTTAAGACTAGATGTATCCATTAGCGCTCCATTTCTCAAGCAGCCATAAATAAATTAAATCCGATCACATTAAATTGTTACATTACGTCACATAATCTAAGACAATAATACGAATCTAATATAATTATTATGTAGTTAATGGAACTTGCATTTATAATTAAATAGTTTCTTTTAAAGGCATTAGATTTTGTAAGAAGAAATGAAAAAAAAAGTAGAATTAAGACATCGATTATCTTTTCGAATTATGTAAAACAATAGTGGTGTTTACAAATGTATAATTACTTACTATGACAGTACAACAATATTGAATGATGATCACAAAACGGCAAAACTTATAATCTTACCAAGCGATACGAAACGCGATATTATATTTATGAAAGCAAAATTCGTACTGCAACAGTATATATATCTATATATATATATATATATATATATGTATAAGCAAACGCTACGGTAATGTGATATTGATACGCCAGTTTATACATTTATCTGTTCCACTCTTCTATTATAGAATGATAACACGGAACGATAACACGTATCATTTAATCGTGACTTTGTCAAAATAAGAAATCATGAAACATTTCTTATTTTAAATCATCTGTTCTTGCATATAATAGTTAATAATAATTATTATTTAAGCAGTTAAAAAAGTCATATTAATATAAAATAGCTCCAATGATTGTCAAGATTAAATTACTTTTCGATCAGTTAGAATACATTTAATGTCATTTCGATGTTATCGCATAATCTGTTCTACTTAAAAACTTTTCTCTCTTGTAATTATACTCTTTTGTAATTATACGGTATATATATATGGAATTATACGATGGAACACTTTGAGCTTCCATTATTGAGAATGAATTAATTTGACTTTGATTTATTACTTCTCAATATATTTCATCAAACCAAAAAGAACAACAAATTACTATAAAAATAATATTCTAATGATTGAATCTTATTTCAATAAAATCAATAAAAGGAAATAATAAGAAATGATATTTGTTTCGGAATGTAATTATATGATAAATTACGTTAAAAAACGGTAAAATCTTGAAAATAAATAACACTTTTTTTCACCGCTTTTTTTCGATATTTTTAAGAATATAGTTATATAATAGCAATCGAAATATTTCTAAAAAAATTAAATAAAAAATTATTTGTAAAATTTTATTTTAAGTAGTAGTATTTTTAAATAATAAGAGTTTAAATATAGCCATTGCAATTATAGACTACATTTAAATGACTATCTGTCCATGAGTCGCGCAGTATATAATAGTATGTAATAGTATTAATTAAAAAGGGCTACTTCTGCGCACTTCTGAGCACTTCAGCGTGCTCACTAATGCGAGATCTATGTGGTAGACAATCAGAATATCAACTATTAATGCTTCTGATTGGCTACTGAAATCATTTTTGCAACTTTAAATTTCGCGAATACATTATAATCCAGCACAATTACAAGTGATTATTTATAAACATAGTTTGTAATTAGTCATATTTAAATATCGCTTGTATCTAAAACTAATGCTTGAAATAAAAACATACAAATAACTTTTTTTGGAAACTGTATTTTTCTAAAAATTTCTTGTTATAGTATTTTGAGTTATAAATTTTGAGATATCCCGTGCACTGCTCGATGATTGATATTTATATTCCATTGTCTGTTTTGCACTAAAAATTCATTTTTCGTAAAATAAAAAAAGAAAAAAATAATTTCGACAAATGAGAATATCCAAACCATGATTCTGAACAACATTCAAAAGTTTTAAACCGTTGGACACCTTGAATATGCTAACTAACGCCAGTGGAAGCATAACTTTAAAACTTCATAATTCGAAAAATACGTAATAAAAAAATATGTTGATTTAATGTTTGAAGAGCTCTCAAAATAAACTAGAAGAATATGGAGATTTCTATTAAAAAAAATAAATGTAATTCGATCTTGGTGATGTTACTCAAGGTTAAATCGAAAAGACCGGTAGACAGATCTTGTTAAACCCTACAATTTTTATCTGAAATATTTTTGTATAAAACTTATATTTTTCGAGATATGTCTGCATCCTGCTATTTTTTCCTCATCCCGTATTTATGATGTACTTTATATATGTATATATTGGGTTGTCCGGAAAGTTCATGCCGACTAACCTATATAATTTAATAAATGTATACTAAAATTTAAATTTTCTGCGTTTCAATTTTCCTTCAACATCGGCACGAACTTTCCGGACAACCCAATACATAAAAAAATATGTATATACCACGTATTGATTAGAAATTTAGATAAATGATATAAGAATATTTCTAGAAGACAATAGAGGCTTTACACTGTCTTAGACGTTCTAACTGGAATTTGCTTTCACGCATCAATTAGAGATTTGCTAAATTTCTTAATATAAATCCGTTCATTTTTTAAAATGACGAGCTCATTACAACGAATGAATAACAAGAAAATAAAAGAAAATTTCACTAATTTTAATAATTTTATCTTTTATTTTTATATTCATCTTGATATCGTGGGTATATTAATAAAAATATATTTCATACTTTCTTTTATAATAATTATATATTAAGTAAATTATTACAATGTAAAATTACATTTTCTGAGTTTAGCTTTTGAAAATATTTCCAGAAAACATCTGTTTTATTATTCATGGACACTCTAAAAATTATCTGTATCTATTTCAATTTTGCGCTTCTCCAAATTTTTCTTTACGTTGGAGCGTACATTTTATGGCCTCGCAACATCTAGATTTAAGCAGACATAACATGCCAACCTCCATCTACAGGCATTGTTATCCCTGTTATAAAACTAGCATCGTCACTTGCTAGAAATGCAATGGTTTTTGCGATTTCCAAAGTGTCACCGTTTCTTCCTAAAGCATGCCCCCCTTTCAACTGCTCGAAAACGATTTTAATCTGTTCTTGGGTCAGCCCAGTGTTCCGAAGGATATTTGTTGGTACAGCGCCAGGATTTACGGAATTCACACGCACCTATATTGTATTTTAAAAATAATAATATGATGCATCTATGTCGTATTTTCAAAATTATATTTATAATTTCAACTATTGTTGAAAAAATAAAACTGCCATTATCCTTACACGCACCTGTCGTGATGCCAATTCTAAAGCAACGCAACGCGTAAATTGATCCAGAGCTGCCTTACTCATGCAATATGGCAGATTATTTTTCAATGGTCGTAATCCAGCCACGCTTGAAACATTTACAATGTTGCCTTTCGTTTTGATTAAATATGGCACTGCTAGTGTAGTCAATTGAAATACTGATCGAACATTTACATTGAAAATACTGTAAACACATTTACATAAAAAACACGTTTTTGTTATATTACGTTTTCATAATAAAACAGAATTTATCAATATTCATACATACAATTTATATATACTATCAACTTTACATACTTGTCGTATTGTTCTAAGCTTGGAGTTTCTATACTACCGAATTTTACAATTGCAGCGTTATTAACTAAAACATCTAATTTGCCATAATGCTTGATCGTCGAGTCGATAATATTTTTCACATCATTCTCATTGGCTAAATCTCCCGTTATAATAAACGGTTTAGGCTGTCCACATTGTTCGGCTACCTTGTCTAAATTGTGCTTATTACGCCCTGTTATCGATAGCAATGCACTAAGCTGAGCAAAATGAATAGCTGTTTCAGCTCCAATTCCTGAACTGGCTCCTGTTATCAGAACAACTTTTCCCATAAAAGACATCTAAAATAGATAAGATTTTTCATACTGGATATATGTAGTACCCCGCTGTGTAGTACACTGCTCATTAAGTTATAAGTAAAAATTAAATCCGATCACATTAAATTGCTATATTATGTTATATAATCTAAGACAGTGATATTACGAGAATCTAATATAATTATTATGTAACTAATAGAATTATATTTGCATTTGCAAATATAAATTAGCAAAAATATATATAATTTTTTTTAAAAAGATTAAATTTTTTGAGAAGAAGACAAAAAGAGATGTAAAATTAAAATTAATTTGTGGATTATTGTTTCGAATTACGTAAAACAATACGGTTTGTGTTTAACAAATGTATAAATACTTATTGCGATACAATTGCAGCGGTAATACAAGGATATCGAACAATATCCACAAAATGACGAAACTTATAATCTCGAGCGATATAAAATGCAATATCATGTTTGTGATAGCGAAGTCCGTAATGCAGCAGTATAATATATGTAAGCAAATATTATACAATAATATAATTGACACCGGTTTATATATTTACTTCTTCTATTTTTTTATTCCGCAGCAATAACACGTTCATTTAATTGTGAAACACTTCCTGCTGTAACATATTTTAAATCATCTGTCCTTGCACATAATAATTAATAATAATTATAATTCAAACAATTCAAAAAGTCATGTTGATATCAAAATAGCTGTGATTGTCAATATTACTCTAGTTACTATGTAATAAATTGCGATTTATTTAATCGTTATCGTAATCTGTTTTGCTTGGAAAGCAATTTCTCTTTTAATTATATGATATGTATTATACGATAGAAAAATTTGAGCTTTTTTTGTTAGGAATAAATTAGATTTTTATTTATTTCTTCTCCGATTTCATCAAATCAAAAAGAACAAATTACTGTAAAAATTATATCATATTTTAATGATTGAATCGACTTTCAATAGAAAATAAAAGAAATCAATAGAAAACGATGTTTTTTCGGAATATAAACTGATAAGTTACTATAAATAAATTTTAAAAACGCTAAAAATTACGATCGAAAACAAAATTGATATGATGATGAAATAAGATTGCTTTGAAATGATTGTTTCTTATCGTTATCTTTATTTTTTTAACGGAGTTAAAACAGCAAATTTCTATACATGTATGTTGCAATAAGATATTGTGAAATCTGTAGACTAAGATTACCTTGCACATTTGTAATCACCATTAATCGGATTTAATAATATAGTAGTAGTTATTGGCTGCGTTGCAGAAAAGAAAACTGACATTTTACATCAGTATATTACAGTTATTGACTGGATTTTATCCAGCAAAATTGGATAAACTGTATAATCGAATTTTATCCGGAAATTATTTCAACCTCAATAAAGAGATTGTAAAAGTAAAATCTAATTGTTTAAATTATATTATCATACATTATATATGTTAATTAATATTTAAACATTAATAAAAAAATATGTAGTTTTTTATATATTGGTCAAATGTACATATAAAATATACATATGTATACATAAAATATACATATGTACATATAAAATGTACATATAATATATTTAAAAAATTTAAATTTTAAATATGTATTATAATTATTTCTATCCAAATTATGGAAAACGACTTTTTCATAATCCGGCCAGATATTTGAACGACTCGGTAAAGAGATATCTATCATGAAACAAGTTGGAGTGAATTCCAATAATTCCAATTTATTCCGAATAATTCCATAATATCGATTTTGTAATTTTTCCTTAGGACGGAAACGTGAAAAGTGAAATTTTTTTGTATGATAGGTGTATATATACATACTTATATATATCAAAATACATAAAAATCACTTTTCACATTTCCGCTTTAGAGAAAAAGACATGATAGATACCCTGATGACTACGTGGATTATAAAAAATCGATCAAATATATAGAGGCTGGATATTACCGGATATCCGTTGCATCTTTAGATCAGAAATATTATTTAAATATTATAATTTATTTAAAATATTATATAAAAACGTTGCTGAATATTTCACATAAAATCAATATTTCAAATGTTTATTTAATTTTCTTGCTTACTGATTACATCATGTGTTCTAAGATAGTAATATTATAAATTTAATGTTATTGACTGCGTAAAACGCATGATGCGCACATATTATTTATTGCTCATCTTGTAGCTCATCGAATGTCAAAAAAGAATAAAATAGTTCATCATGCGCATCGTACAGAACTCGCAGCGATTATAGCTAATAATATTATATTTGTATTAGCAAATACCGATTTAATTATATAACAATAGTAAACTATGTTTAGCAAATGTAATAAATACTTACCGTAGTACAACGATATTAAACGATTCACAAAATTTATAATTTCGAGCGAAAAAAGATACAATATTGCGTTTGTAAGATCGTAGATGCGATCCGTATCAGTGCATCGTCAGCAAACACGTTATACCAAAAAAATGCATAACTTAAATTGGCACTTTACATATTATAAGACATGTCCCACTCCTTTATTTAAAAACAGTAAGACATCATTTAGTCATGATTAAATATTATAACAGATAAAAACAGGAAACAAAACGTTTCCGTTGTAAGATACATTTTGAATTGTCTATCATTAATGCGCATATAATTAATAATTACAGCCCAAGCAGAAGAAAACATCTTGTTAACATCAAAGCACTTCCCGATAAAAAATTTTTTATATAAGAATATACATATATATATATATGCATACATGTAAATATAATAGGTATATGTATGTATAAATATTATTGTATTTGTAAAATTATGTACATATAATATATACATAAATATAATATATACATATAAATAT